AGAGGGTGAGTGCCGAGAAGTATACGGCCATGGCGTTGAAGTCGCGGAGCGAAGCGGGAGGCATTTGGCGCGCGCAGCGGAGGACTTGGCCAGCGTGCCAGGCGGCGTGGTGGGCGTCAGGGCGGTGCATCCAGTCGTTTTCCAGGCAGGCAGAGGCGCGGCGGGCGGCGTCCTCGCCGGACTTGCCGGCGAAGTGCTGGAGGGTGTCAAGGGAGACGTGGAGGGTCATTTTGAGAAGCTCGGCGGTGAGCGCGAGTTCGGGATTGGAGGAAGGGGACGAGGTGAGGTGTGAGGCGATATCAGAGAGATCGCGGTAGACATCTTGTTGTTGGGAATCGAGCCAGAGGCGTCGGGGGGTATTTTGAGGCGCATTGGAGAAGTTTTGGTTGTTGTCGTAGAATTTGACGCTGTCGCGGTAGGCGTTGATGACTGACCAGAAGCTGTTGAGTAGCACGAAGTGGCAGAGGTCTAGGTCCAAAGCCTCGCCCAGGTTCTCGATGGCTGCAAGGGAGTGCAGCATATCGGAGACCCTGGGTAGTTTAGAGGCGGATATCAAGGGTTTGGAGAGGTAGCATGCACGCCATGCTTCGGCTGACGGGGCACGCCAGAGGTCTCTAGAGGCTGGCGGGCTAAAGTTGAGCTCGGTGAAGGGCACAAGAGGAGGTTTCTGATATGAAATTGATGTCTGGGTATCGTGGAGGAAGAGGTGAAGAACAACCCTGGAAAGGGGTGGCAGCTTTTAGCCGTTGCACACGCGGATTTCAGAAGTATATCTACAATACCTTTTGTAGGACTCTTTCTTGATGAAGCTCCGCCACTTTGCTTCGAGCGCCTCGGGCGAGTCTGACGGGAGAGGGGGAAGGGAGGCCGAGTCCGATGCAGCGGCAAAGATACCAGCTCGACGAAGCATCTTCACACCAGTGTCAGTATGGGAGGAGATTCAGGGCAAGATGGCATCCTACCGTCACCAGCGGGAGTAAAAATCCCTCGGCAAGCTCAGTTCGGCGCTTGAAGCCGCTCCAGATGCCCACATCCAACGACAGCATGTATGTCTGAATGCAATCGAGTCGGCGGGTGTTGGCGTTATCGCCCTCGAAAAGGGCGGCGAGACGAAGGCGGATTATCTCTTGCAGAGCAAGCCCGAACTGCCACACCGCAGGGACAGCGATAAAGCCTGCGCCGTGGGAAATAATGGAGGCGAGGAGTTCAGGTAGCGCGTCTTGGGGGTCGAATGAAGCAGAGTGGATCCAACTGTCACACGCGTGGTACTCGTCATGCACAAAGTTGGCCTGGAGGAGGTAATCCAGCAGCTCCAGAGACGGAAAAGACGGCGCGCGGGCGCTACCTTTGAGCTCGGCCAGAGCAATGGCGAATAGACGGTCACGGGTTGCAGCAGTCATCTTCAGATGGTCTGTCCAGCCGTTCAGGGGTTGAGCGGCCGCAGAAGAGCGAGGAAGCGCCTCGTCCTCGTCTACGTGAAGTCCTTCCAGGTCTCTCTGGACGTAGTTTTTCGAAAATTCCGGTTCCCATAGCCACGGTGATCGTTTAAAGGCGGCATGACGCTTGGCAGTGTCCTCTAGGCCACGACCGGTCGTTCTCGAAGACGTTGATACGGAACTAGAACCGAATCGGGGCACAGCCAACTCCCCCCAAAAGTCCCAGGATGCGAAGTCCATCTCCGGGAATGGGTCATGTGGTGGGTTGAAGAAAAGCATCTCGTCATTCATGGCCGCGGGAAGGGCCTCGGCGGTGACATGGTCGGCAATGTCGGGGTACGCACTGCCGGGGATGGCAACAGGCACCGGCCTTGGGTACGGGATGGCGTAGTCCGACACATCGGAAGGGTGGGTCCCCGTGTCGAGCGTCGGAGAGATACTGGAGCCGTCTGCAAGAGCATCTATCAGCAAGATATTTCACGCCTGGGAATGATGAGTACGTCATTACCAACTGTCCTGTACTTCTGGGTCTTCTTGGACGCCCTTTCACAGGCAATGCCCTTTGCCCGGCAGCGGGAGCAGGGCTTCTGGTCGTCACATTTTGCTTTTGAAGCCGCACAACCCAAACACTGGCGAGTGTCAGTTTTTCCTGCTTGGGGCATGGCGCCGTAGTGACCCACCGCTTCAACGGTCCGCTCCGTCCTGCGGATCATCGACCGGCCCCCGTCGCTCTCCCGGTCGTGGGTCGCCTCATGGCGCGTCAGCAGATCGGCGCGATTGAAACGTTTGGGACACCGCGAGCATTGGTACTGGCGGGCATTTTCGTGCGACCGCAGGTGTCTTGTCAAGTGGTCGGCGCGCTCGTAGACGCGTTTACACAGGTGGCAGACGTGAGTGGGTGCGGTGGAAGGTGGGGGACTTCGCCTCGCCCGTTTCACGAGCGGCTCCACGAGCCGATCGGTGGCGGCGGCAGAGGCACTAGGAAAAGCTTGAATGGATGCGAGCAGGTCGGAGCCAGCGGCGTCGCACAGAATGTCAATGCCATTCTGCTCCATTATCCCGAGAAACGTAGGATCCGCAACTTGTTGGCGCGAGGGAAGCATGGCCAGGGAGAGGTGGAGGGGAGGACCCGGTGGGGCCGGTGATCACGGTGGTTGGCCTGCTGGTGCTCTGGCGCGCCTGGGTGGACGTCTAAACGCTGGGTTTCGGGAGCCCGGGTGAACGTTGGAGCGATGGTTCCTTCCCGTCCTTTGCCAGTGGATAAGGAATCGACCACGGGGGAATTGGCTTGGACGAGAGAGGCTTCTTCTATTTCCTCCCCTCACTCACCGCAGCCCTGTTACGAATTCAATTGCTATTGTCAGTTTCAGACAGCAGCCCGCCATGAGCGCCACAGCACCCAGGCCCCTGTCTCGACCAATCACTTGCCACTTGTCGACAATCAATTGCAGGTTGTTCAAAGCCGGCCGCTTTTGCCGAGACATCGAAATGGGACAAAGGGTCGGTTGCATCCGAGACTCAAAATTGACGTCTGCCCTTGATGTTCAAAACGGCCTTGACTTGTTTTGGGCGAGTGTCTGCAGAGCTTCCTCGACAGTGCTATGGTATAACAAAGGTTGCAACAAAGGTTCATCCAGTTCCTTGTAGGCATCAAAGATGACCACCTGCGTGGTCACCCATGTGATCCACTGGTCAAAGGAATCAAATCAGAGCCGCGACTAAGGATAAATGGTCGTCCGGTTTCCGCACCTTTGATCGAAGGAAGAACACGTTCCAAGTCACAGTTCTCGCGAGAAGCATCCACACACTCTTAAGAGCCCCTCCCTACAATGTCCTCCCATTTACAAGAGAAATTGGAACGCGAGCGGAGGGTCCGTAGAAGCAAGCGCCCATCTAGCTGAGTAACCACCGGGGAAACCGGTTCAGCGCCAGCCGTGCAGGAAAACCTAGGCTCGAAGGCTATGGAACAAGAACTGTCTTGGCTGCAAAAGCAAAACTGGAACCTTGAGCTGGAGATATTCAACCGCCGCGAGAAATAAACTGCCCTGGAGGCGCAGGTGGAGGAATTGGAGAAAGACAACGCCAAAAGGAGGTGACAAACAAGAGATTGGATGATGAGATCGAGGAGGCAGTCGAAATGATCGTACGTCTAGAAGCGCACGTCGAGCAGCTGCTTAATGAGCGTGAGACGGTCGGGGGAATCGAGCACAACAGCACAAGCGGCGATTCGGCGAGCCTCGAGACGCCCCCGCGGAAGGTGCCAGACTTTCTGGCGTTTGATGACCGGATGCCTAGCTTTCTGTCTGCGTAACAAACACCCTTAATACCACCTTGAAATCGACAACACGAAACTCCCTTTCCTTCTTCGGAACTGAGCAATTGCTGCATTGGGCTGTGCCAGACTAAGCCAGACTGAGCCAGACTGAGCGAGGGAGTCACTATTCTAGGCTGTCTTGGCTATAGTGGCCACAGTCTAAAATGGCCGTAGAGTTGCGAGGACCTAGTTTTGGGTGCTCGTATTACCACCACCGCTACGACCTCCTTAAACAATGTCTCTAGCAAGTGTCTAGTGATGTCTGGTAATCTCTTGCTGAAGCAGGCGACTCTTCAAGTCGGGTAGGGTTAAAGATAAATAACAAGTGGTGGTTTACGTCTCAACGAAACTGCTACACCAAGAGGGCCATCCATATTTGGAGAAGCGGATCAGACGTAGGAGAGAAGCAATAGGAATCACAACAGAGAGAAACAATACCAGAAAATTAGTGTAGAAACAGCAATGTGAAGAACAAAAAGAGCACTGTGGATGCCTAACACTTTGGCAAAGGCTTCCAAAGACTCCGGCCGAAAGAAAGGGGCCATCTGCACGCAAAAAAGAACACCTTACCACCCTAGATTAACACAGGCTTTTGGCCAAGACAAAACGGCGTTCCACGCATTTTAAATGCCGATATTTACATTCTAAAGTACCTAAAATATATTGCTTGAGGTGTTATCTGCATTGTTAGAGGCCTCATTGACGTTGTAAGAAGCCATAAGCGATATGGTTGACACCTACTTCCCAGTGTCAATGACACCAAGCGCACTAACCAAAAAGGACCCTTTCTTTTGGCCGAAGCCGTTGTATCTACCATGGTCCCACCAGCACCATCATCTCCCTCAGCCCATGCTTGTTGCTTCTAGACCACCCATAGAACACTGCACCAACTGCCGCACAGACTGCCAAAGCAGTCGCCGACCAAACCCTGCAGCCTATAATGGCGCGGAGAACCATAGACGCGAAAATAACGGAACAAACCCCCCTTCCCCCCCAAACATTCGACCCACCGCCCAGCCTTCCAGCCCCCATCCCCACACCCTCTCCACAAGCCCACAAGACACCAGCACAACCCCACAGGGCACATTCCCACATGTCCATTCCAACAAATAACAATCGGGTACGATGTAGTGGCTAACATCGCTGGCTCTCACTCAGCAGCCCGGGGTTCGATTCCCCGTTCCCGAGATTCCCAGGCACCACCGCCTGACCGCAACCAAACTCCCGTGGATGGCAACATTCACACTCATTCTTCCGTAGTATAGTGGTCAGTATGTGAGCTTGTCAATATCCCATATTCTGGGAATGCCTTCGCTCGAGACTGGGGTTCAATTCCCGGCGGGAGAGTACGAGGTCGGAGGTGGCATCTGGTCTTTTTTTCTTTTTTTGCTCTTTTTCTCTTTCCCTAACTTCGGGTAGCTGGCGCTGGCGACGGGCATGAGAACCCAAGACACAACATCCGGCATCAACCGACCCCAACACCTCCGGGTACGGAATCCGCCGTGCCTCTCTCCCGTTACGCCGCCTCCGTACTGCATCGCACATCCCGCAGAGCACAACATCCGGCACCACCGACACCATAACAAACCCCATCGGATAGGGAGACCATCATAACCAGTGTCAATACCTCAGCCGGCCTCCAATTCGCCACCACCTCACGTCCAACCCAACCACATACCCCAGCACACGATTCGAAGCATGACATCCTAACCACCACTCCCAACTGGACACTGTGAGCACAACCACAACCACCCAGTCGCACCACTTAGCGCACGCACGGCGATCATCGCGTGACGTGAACGATAACAACAGAAGCACCGACGATTCCTCTGATACTCGCCAATCTATTTTCCTCCCTTCACCCAAAAAGCCACAACGTGCGACCCCTGCGGTGGCGCAACCGCGGAATGATGTCTAGGGGGCTAGCCATCGGCCGTCGGCATCATCTCCCCAACTCTCGTGTAACAAACTCTTGAAAGCCACCTGTGCCACCAAGTGTCTCAGCTCCATGCGGCCTGCCAATGGCTCGCCCCAAATATCACAGCATTGGCTGAACGTTGGTTGGCATGTTGTGGAAGTTTGGTGAGAGAACGAAACTTTTTCGAAAAAAGGATATCAAGTCTAGGGTTCGTCGATCATGAAACTCTGGTCATGCTGCCTAGATATGTGAGTGACCCCGTATTCTGCGCCGAGACCCATGCAAACGCCGTGCCCATCGTACATGTCTTCCATTACCCAACCGTTGTAAACCAACAAAGCTGACGGCCAAAGGCGCCAACTGTAAAACCCCAAAAATAAACGCAACCCAGAGTCCAATTCATGCAATGTGGTTGATGACACACCCTTGCCTCCATTGGTCCTCCTCGAGATTGGAAACCGCCCCGGGACTTTTGGATCATTATTTTGATAGGAAATAAATGCCGTCCAGCAAGCCTATAGAAGATGTGTTGAAAGGTGACCGAGATCAGTAGCAGGCCGTGCCGCAATGACCGCATGCTCTCCCTTGTATAACCCACACCTCTTCGCCCTTCTCGGCGCACTTGGGGCAACGGACTCCGGGGAGCTGTTGGTGGTTAGCTTGGCTCTCACATGACTTGTTGCCACTGCATGACACCCGCTGACGGAACGGAATATCACGTAAGGGGCACGGAAATCTTTCCACTCGAGCAATAGGATGGTGAGAAAAGCGTACCATTGTGACGGTACTGGGGTGAAGGGGCGTGGTGGAGGGGATGGGTTGCGTCGGTTCTGGAGATGTGCCTGTGGGGTCGAGCGAAGAGGCGAGGTGGGGAGCTTGGTGGGGGCAAGTAGACCCAAAAGGTATGAAAGATGCTTAAATAAGAGCAAGGCGTTGGGTGATTTGAGCTGACCGGTGTGATGGAGACAAAGGAAGGAGAGGAGAGGAGGGAAGGGGGAATAAATAAGTAAGGCCGGGCGAGGTGGTAACAGCACCATCAAACTCCATCGACGTGGGTCCCAGCTGGTGTCATGAAGGATAATGAGATTCCGGAACGGGAACGGGATGAGTGGCAAGGCAAGTCCCTGCACTCAAAGGAGACGCCATCATGGGTTGTTTCGTTGCCGTCTGTGATCATCGGTGCGTGTTGCCGCTATGTGCAAGCAGAGACTAACGGGATATTGCAGCGAGAAGCGATCCCGGTGTAAGACAGTGCGTGGGCTTCCAGCTAGCACAGACAGGGACTGGCTCTCTTGATAGCGCCCCGGGGACGGAAAATGGGAAGAGGCTAATGCTCGTAGTATACCAAGTCAAACGGAGAAACGCGGAAGACGAGCAACAGCTTGTAGGGTATCGGTGGAGCTACTGACTTCGATTCGGGTTGAGAGCTAGGGTAGGGTGAGCAAGAGATATGTCGAACGTCAGATGTCAAAACTGCTGAGCCCCGCCCCGACCACCAGCGGACGAGGGTCAGAAAGCGGAAATCTTTCGATGCTAGGCCGCTGCTCCCGCTCGGTCTTTGTTGAGCATCACAACTGGAGGCCCTATCCAGAGCTTCGATTGGACCGGTGCGGCGCTCGCGTTCGTCTGGCACTGGGATGGACAGGGGGTTGAGTGGGGGAGCGCAAACGCCTCGCTTCCGCTGGGATTTGGCAATGGCAAAGATGCGCGACAGGGACATGGGTCCCGAGGGTAGCCCGCGACTGCGATCTGATAACTCCCTCGAGGAAGGTGCCTCGAGGGTGGGTGTTGTCTGGGGCTTTTGGTGTTCAGAAAACCGATTGCAAAATGCATCAGGCCCAAAACTGCCAATCCTTGGCTTGCACCATGTCTTGCCTAGACGACGCTGCTGCAGATGATCAAGAGTCCGGGCGTGCAGTTCTGTGTGTATCCTGGCTTCGATCATGCAACATCCGACTGTTGCAGTTACCCCGCGGCCCCGTACCTTAGGGAACCGTGGCCTGGCGGAGATGTAGGCATGTGTGACAAATTAAGGCCCATCCGCCATTCTTTGTCACCCATCCCGGCGTTGTTCCTGGCTGGCTGGCAGCGGCGTCTTCCCACATTCAGGGTGTGGCTGCCCCTCGCTTCCCGTCTGACAAGTGACAGTTGGTAAGCTGTGACGAGCAAACGATTCCGATGAAAGGCGATTGGGCATACGACAAACGGCGCATCAAACGAAGCACCCCGAAGCGGCCGTCTGAAAGTGCCATTGGCAGTCGTGAAATACTTGGTTTGGCTACCTACGCCGGTGGGAGACGTACCCTCGTGAGCGTCGGATGGGAGGATGGGCAGCCCAGGCCTGGTCACGGAAAGTACACTACTGTGTACATCGTGCTTTCCGAGCCTCTGCAAAAATCCGTTTAGCTTCTTTTGGGCGAAGAGCAAGCCCCACCGCCCTGACCCGGGCTGCGCTTTTTCCTCAATGTTGCTTTTTCCTCCCCTATCTTGAGCCCAAAAAATCTCTGCCCTGGGAACGACTTCGGGGCAACAACCTATTCTGTTCCCCTTTGGAATCAGCCAAGACCGACCCTTTCGCTCATAGCTCCTTCTTTTATGACCTGGGACTGCTGTCGAAAGTCGCTGGCGTGACTCGAGACAGCGAAGGCGCTAACGCGTCAACCACACTTACCACTCGACAGGGGATCAGGTCGGGGTAAGGTTCACTCGAGCTGTCTTGGGACCAATGATGTGTGCGATAATCGCCTCCCACGAGATCGACAGTCGCTAATCTCGACCTCGGTTCGTATCTTCGCATCATTTCCCTCTCCTTACCCATATCCAAGGGGATGCGTTTGTCTGGTTCTCCTCTTTCTCCGAAGACGACAAACAATCATCGGCTCCCGCAACCTGATGCCCAGCCTGCGTGCTCAAGCGGTAGCCTCGGGAGGCAAAAGATCGAAGACTGGGTAGCGAAGCCGCCAAGACGGGGCTACCTCAGCCCTTGAACCAGCCCCTCGGTGCCGATGGGGTCGCATTCAGATGCCCCAGCGTGCTTTGGTGCAGCTCGACCTGAGGAACCTTGCCTCTGGGCGCGGGTGGGGGTTACGTTTCCGCTGCTAATCCAACAACACCGTAACTTCGATGTGTTTTAGCTGACTTCTATCCGGCTGTGCGGCAGTGTCTCGGGCTTCCCTCCCGAATGAGCCTCGAGTTTATCGCGCTCTCACCAGCTTCTTGTCCCCCACGGAGCAAATATCGGCAGTTCTTTGTCTCAGTCCAGCTCTGTTACGAGTTACGCACATGATGGAATCCGTGGCGCAAGACACCCCAGCTCTGTAATACACCGGGGTATTGCGTTTTCCCTGCTCTTCGATGCGGCTTTAGGTGGCTAGGAAAGCCATGCCATCACCGCCCCCTGGCGGGTTCGAAACAGCCTTCTTAGGGAACAACAAACGAGATCACCACCGGCGCAAGACCTCAGCAAGCCGGCCTCAACTCACGCTCAGAGCCAGAAGCCGACCTCGCTGCACGGAATTGCATTTGGGTCACACCGCATCAGGGCTCAGAAGTTCACGTACTTACAATGATTGCAGAAGTATCTGTTTCTCGACACTTTTAACACCCCATTTATGCTCGATCACAGACGATTTTTGTCCTCCGACACATCAAGAGCATGGTGTCAACCATAGTATTCGTAATTACGGATTACGCACTTCCAGGCGGACCGGACAAGTTTTGACAACTCCCGCGTTGTCTGTGCGATGCTGTGGTTTGGGGTTCCGCCCCCTCAATACCACTCGGCAGCCGACTGTCTAACCCTTCTGCAGCAACCTGGTCAGCCATTACACACTAATAACAAAGGATTACACATATTATCGTCAACGGCACCCGGAAGTCCGCACCTGTCGAACAGGGCGATTAGTCAAGGGTGGGTTATCTGCTGTGCACGGCTTGAGCATTCGCCGTGGGCTGTTCCCTGCCAGTCCCATGTGGTGAAGGTCCCCGAACACGACAGTGACGTAAGAGAGGCTCACCAAGAAAATAAGCAGTCCCCGAGAGCGGAGACTGAGGTCGCCCGGTGACCCATCCGGGGGAAGCCCTTTGCCAGAGGTCTTTCCTCCATAGCCCCCTCGCCGAAACTAGCCCATGCGGAACACTTCGGGTATTGCTCCGCTTGATCGATGAGGGTTTGTATCTCGGAAAAAGCGGTGTCACTTAGCGCCGGCTGTTTTGGAGTTTCTCACATTACACAGTAGACGGAGAATTTTTCTATCGTCTCCTACTGACACAAACATGGCTTCCCTGCATGGGGACTAAGGACAAGCGAACCAGGCTGTCGGGACGAATTACGGCGTTTGTCTGATTCGCTTTCATCGTTGTACCGCATTTCTTGCGTCCTCAGGCATCAAGTGCGGAAGAGGCGTTTGAAGGGGCTGATCTTTGCAAG